AGTTCTCTCTTGAACACTGTGAGGGGTCGGCCAGTTATGTCCCTTATGTGTAGTGGAAGCGTGTTGAACAGTCTCGGGTCTCTGATGTTGATAGTTCTCTCTTGAACACTGTGAGGGGTCGGCCAGTTATGTCCCTTATGTGTAGTGGAAGCGTGTTGAACAGTCTCGGGCCTCTGATGTTGATAGTTCTCTCTTGAACACTGTGAGGGGTCGGCCAGTTATGTCCCTTATGTGTAGTGGAAGCGTGTTGAACAGTCTCGGGCCTCTGATGTTGATAGTTCTCTCTTGAACACTGTGAGGGGTCGGCCAGTTATGTCTCTTATGTGTAGTGGAAGCGTGTTGAACAGTCTCGGGCCTCTGATGTTGATAGTTCTCTCTTGAACACTGTGAGGGGTCGGCCAGTTATGCCCCTTATGTGTAGTGGAAGCGTGTTGAACAGTCTCGGGCCTCTGATGTTGATAGTTCTCTCTTGAACACTGTGAGGGTCGGCCAGTTATGTCCCTTATGTGTAGTGGGAGCGTGTTGAACAGTCTCGGGCCTCTGATGATAGTTCTCTCTTGAACAATGTGAGGGGTCGGCCAGTTATGTCCCTTATGTGTAGTGGAAGCCTGTTGAACAGTCTCGGGCCTCTGATGTTGATAGTTCTCTCTTGAACACTGTGAGGGGTCGGCCAGTTATGTCCCTTATGTGTAGTGGGAGCGTGTTGAACAGTCTCGGGCCTCTGATGATAGTTCTCTCTTGAACAATGTGAGGGGTCGGCCAGTTATGTCCCTTATGTGTAGTGGAAGCCTGTTGAACAGTCTCGGGCCTCTGATGTTGATAGTTCTCTCTTGAACACTGTGAGGGGTCGGCCAGTTATGTCCCTTATGTGTAGTGGGAGCGTGTTGAACAGTCTCGGGCCTCTGATGATAGTTCTCTCTTGAACAATGTGAGGGGTCGGCCAGTTATGTCCCTTATGTGTAGTGGAAGCCTGTTGAACAGTCTCGGGCCTCTGATGTTGATAGTTCTCTCTTGAACACTGTGAGGGGTCGGCCAGTTATGTCTCTTATGTGTAGTGGAAGCGTGTTGAACAGTCTCGGGCCTCTGATGTTGATAGTTCTCTCTTGAACACGGTGAGGGGTCGGCCAGTTATGCCCCTTATGTGTAGTGGAAGCGTGTTGAACAGTCTCGGGCCTCTGATGTTGATAGTTCTCTCTTGAACACTGTGAGGGGTCGGCCAGTTATGTCCCTTATGTGTAGTGAAAGCGTGTTGAACAGTCTCGGGCCTCTGATGTTGATAGTTCTCTCTTGAACACTGTGAGGGGTCGGCCAATTATGTCCCTTATGTGTAGTGAAAGCGTGTTGAACAGTCTCGGGCCTCTGATGTTGATAGTTCTCTCTTGAACACTGTGAGGGGTCGGCCAGTTATGTCCCTTATGTGTAGTGGAAGCGTGTTGAACAGTCTCGGGCCTCTGATGTTGATAGTTCTCTCTTGAACACTGTGAGGGGTCGGCCAGTTATGTCCCTTATGTGTAGTGGAAGCGTGTTGAACAGTCTCGGGCCTCTGATGTTGATAGTTCTCTCTTGAACACTGTGAGGGGTCGGCCAGTTATGCCCCTTATGTGTAGTGAAAGCGTGTTGAACAGTCTCGGGCCTCTGATGTTGATAGTTCTCTCTTGAACACTGTGAGGGGTCGGCCAGTTATGTCCCTTATGTGTAGTGGAAGCGTGTTGAACAGTCTCGGGCCTCTGATGTTGATAGTTCTCTCTTGAACACTGTGAGGGGTCGGCCAGTTATGTCCCTTATGTGTAGTGGAAGCGTGTTGAACAGTCTCGGGCCTCTGATGTTGATAGTTCTCTCTTGAACACTGTGAGGGGTCGGCCAGTTATGTCCCTTATGTGTAGTGGAAGCGTGTTGAACAGTCTCGGGCCTCTGATGTTGATAGTTCTCTCTTGAACACTGTGAGGGGTCGGCCAGTTATGCCCCTTATGTGTAGTGGAAGCGTGTTGAACAGTCTCGGGCCTCTGATGTTGATAGTTCTCTCTTGAACACTGTGAGGGGTCGGCCAGTTATGCCCCTTATGTGTAGTGGAAGCGTGTTGAACAGTCTCGGGCCTCTGATGTTGATAAAGTTCTCTCTCAGCGTACCTGTTGCACCTCTGCTCTTCAACGGGGGTATTCTGCACATCCTGCCATGCCTCCTGGTCTCATGTGGTGTTATTTCTGTGTGCAGGTTTGGGACCAGCCCCTCTACTATTTTCCACGTGTAAATTATTATGTATCTCTCCCGCCTGCGCTCAAGAGAATACAGATTTAGGCTCTTTAGTCGGTCCCAATAGTTTAGATGTTTTACTAAGTGTATTCTAGCAGTAAAGGATCTCTGCACGCTCTCCAGGTCAGCAATTTCTCCAGCTTTGAAAGGGGCTGTCATTGTGCAGCAGTACTCCACTCTAGAGAGCACAAGCGTCTTGAAGAGTATCATCATCGGTACAGCATCTCTAGTGTGAAAGGTTCTTGTTATCCAACCTGTCATTTTTCTTGCAGTTGTGACGGCTACTTTATTGTGTTCTTTAAAGGTAAGGTCTTCCGACATGAGTACACCCAGATCCTTTACATTCTGTCACAGGGTAGCCCCCAGTCCCCAGACCCGGCATGCAGTGACTCACTAGGTATCCTCAGTGACTCACTAGGTATCCTCAGTGACTCACTAGGTATCCTCAGTGACTCACTAGGTATCCTCAGTGACTCACTAGGTATCCTCAGTGACTCACTAGGTATCCTCAGTGACTCACTAGGTATCCTCAGTGACTCACTAGGTATCCTCAGTGACTCACTAGGTATCCTCAGTGACTCACTAGGTATCCTCAGTGACTCACTAGGTATCCTCAGTGACTCAATACTCAAATATTGCCGGAACAACCGTGGACATCTTCAAGAGGAAACTAGATTGTTTTCTCCAAGGAGTGCCGGACCAACCAGGCCGTGGTGGGTATGTGGGCCTGCGGGCCGCTCCAAGCAACAGCCTGGTGGACCAAACTCTCACAAATGAAGCCTTGTCTCGGGCCGGGCTTGGGGAGTAGAAGAACTCCCAGAACCCCATCAACCAGGTATCAGGTTCACGAGGTATCAAGCAGGTAATCCTTTGGAATCGCATCCAAGGACAGTGTGATGTAGTCGACATGAGTGTCGGGTACCAGTACACCCCTGGAGTGTGTCGGGGGTACCAGTACACCCCTGGAGTGTGTCGGGGGTAACAGTACACCCCTGGAGAGTCGGGGGTACCAGTACACCCCTGGAGTGTGTCGGGGGTAACAGTACACCCCTGGAGTGTGTCGGGGGGACCAGTACACCCCTGGAGTGTGTCGGGGGGACCAGTACACCCCTGGAGTGTGTCGGGGGTAACAGTACACCCCTGGAGAGTCGGGGGTACCAGTACACCCCTGGAGTGTGTCGGGGGTAACAGTACACCCCTGGAGTGTGTCGGGGGGACCAGTACACCCCTGGAGTGTGTCGGGGGGACCAGTACACCCCTGGAGTGTGTCGGGGGTAACAGTACACCCCTGGAGTGTGTCGGGAGGACCAGTACACCCCTGGAGGGTGTCGGGGGGACCAGTACACCCCTGGAGTGTGTCGGGGGGACCAGTACACCCCTGGAGTGTGTCGGGGGTAACAGTACACCCCTGGAGTGTGTCGGGGGGACCAGTACACCCCTGGAGTGTGTCGGGGGTAACAGTACACCCCTGGAGTGTGTCGGGGGGACCAGTACACCCCTGGAGTGTGTCGGGGGTACCAGTACACCCCTGGAGTGTGTCGGGGGTAACAGTACACCCCTGGTGTGTGTCGGGGGTACCAGTACACCCCTGGAGTGTGTCGGGGGGACCAGTACACCCCTGGAGTGTGTCGGGGGGACCAGTACACCCCTGGAGTGTGTCGGGGGTAACAGTACACCCCTGGAGTGTGTCGGGGGGACCAGTACACCCCTGGAGTGTGTCGGGGGTAACAGTACACCCCTGGAGTGTGTCGGGGGGACCAGTACACCCCTGGAGTGTGTCGGGGGTACCAGTACACCCCTGGAGTGTGTCGGGGGTAACAGTACACCCCTGGAGTGTGTCGGGGGTACCAGTACACCCCTGGAGTGTGTCGGGGGTAACTGTACACCCCTGGAGTGTGTCGGGGGTACCAGTACACCCTGGAGTGTGTCGGGGGTACCAGTACACCCCTGGAGTGTGTCGGGGGTAACAGTACACCCCTGGAGTGTGTCGGGGGGACCAGTACACCCCTGGAGTGTGTCGGGGGTAACAGTACACCCCTGGAGTGTGTCGGGGGTAACAGTACACCCCTGGAGTGTGTCGGGGGTAACAGTACACCTCTGGAGTGTGTCGGGGGTACCAGTACACCCCTGGAGTGTGTCGGGGGTACCAGTACACCCCTGGAGTGTGTCGGGGGTAACAGTACACCCTGGAGTGTGTCGGGGGGACCAGTACACCCCTGGAGTGTGTCGGGGGTACCAGTACACCCCTGGAGTGTGTCGGGGGTAACAGTACACCCCTGGAGTGTGTCGGGGGGACCAATACACCTCTGGAGTGTGTCGAGGGGACCAGTACACCTCTGGAGTTTGTCGGGGGCACCAGTACACCCCTGCAGTGTGTCGGGGGCACCAGTACACCCCTGCAGTGTGTCAGAGGCACCAGTACACCCCTGGAGTGTGTCAGGGGCACCAGTACACCCCCTAGATGAGTCACAAAGGCATTAGGGTGAAAGAGAGCTGGGGGGGGGGGTCATATAGACAAAATGACGTGATTCAGACTTTCTCTCCAACTTTCTAAATGAGATAGTTTGAAAGCCTTTTTGAGACCATGTAAGTCACACCTGCAAGTGGCGACTCTTACTGTAGAAATGAATAAAAAGTCATTACTATCTTACCATTTATTTGGATTAGAAAATAGATAATATATGTTGAATTACACAGGGGTAGAGTGACAGCCTTGGCTTCCACACCCTTGTATTCCTGCATTCACATCGATGGCGTTAGTAGTTCTACATTACAATACAATGCGAAACGTTCAGACAATCTTCAAGACAATCTTCGAGACAATCTTCAAAACAATCTTCAAGACAATCTTCAAGACAATCTTCGAGACAATCTTCGAGACAATCTTCAAGACAATCTTCGAGACAATCTTCAAGACAATCTTCAAGACAATCTTCAAGACAATCTTCAAGACAATCTTTAAGACAATCTTCAAGACAATCTTCAAGACAATCTTCAAGACAATCTTCAAGACAATCTTCAAGACAATCTTCAAGACAATCTTCGAGACAATCTTCAAAACAATCTTCAAGACAGTCTTCGAGACAATCTTCAAGACAATCTTCGAGACAATCTTCAAGACAATCTTCGAGACAATCTTCAAAACAATCTTCAAGACAGTCTTCGAGACAATCTTCAAGACAATCTTCGAGACAATCTTCAAGACAATCTTCGAGACAATCTTCGAGACAATCTTCAAAACAATCTTCAAGACAATCTTCAAGACAATCTTCAAGACAATCTTCAAGACAATCTTCAAGACAATCTTCAAGACAATCTTCGAGACAATCTTCAAAACAATCTTCAAGACAGTCTTCGAGACAATCTTCAAGACAATCTTCGAGACAATCTTCAAGACAATCTTCGAGACAATCTTCGAGACAATCTTCGAGACAATCTTCAAGACAATCTTCGAGACAATCTTCAAGACAATCTTCGAGACAATCTTCAAAACAATCTTCAAGACAATCTTCAAGACAATCTTCAAGACAATCTTCAAGACAATCTTCAAGACAATCTTCAAGACAATCTTCAAGACAATCTTCAAGACAATCTTCGAGACAATCTTCAAAACAATCTTCAAGACAGTCTTCGAGACAATCTTCGAGACAATCTTCGAGACAATCTTCAAGACAATCTTCGAGACAATCTTCAAGACAATCTTCGAGACAATCTTCGAGACAATCTTCGAGACAATCTTCGAGACAATCTTCAAGACAATCTTCAAGACAATCTTCAAGACAATCTTCGAGACAATCTTCGAGACAATCTTCAAGACAATCTTCAAGACAATCTTCAAGACAATCTTTAAGACAATCTTTAAGACAATCTTCGAGACAATCTTCAAGACCATCTTCAAGACAATCTTCAAGACAATCTTCGAGACAATCTTCAAGACAATCTTTAAGACAATCTTCAAGACAATCTTCAAGACAATCTTCAAGACAATCTTCAAGACAATCTTCAAGACAATCTTCAAGACAATCTTCAAGACAATCTTCAAGACAAAGTGACATTTAACAGTTGAACTGCTCATTAATATATCATAAGTAAGAATTATGAGACACAGAATAACACAATATTGGTTTATGTATTATGAGAAATTTCATGATACATTCATACATAAGTATTTGTAGCTAATATTCTGCTATGGGATATTGACAGTGAGAGCTGTATTGATACTGTGAAACACATTATGGTATGATGCTAAGTTGATATTTATCGCTGTATGGATAGGGAGAGTATACTGTAGTCTGGATAATGATCATCGCTACAGTATACTGTAGTCCTAGATAATGTTCAGCGCTACAGTATACTGTAGTCTGGATAATGATCATCGCTACAGTATACTGTAGTCCTAGATAATGTTCAGCGCTACAGTATACTGTAGTCTGGATAATGTTCAGCGCTACAGTATACTGTAGTCCTTGATAATGTTCAGCGCTACAGTATACTGTAGTCTGGATAATGTTCAGCGCTACGGTATACTGTAGTCCTTGATAATGTTCAACGCTACAGTATACTGTAGCCTGGATAATGTTCAGCGCTACGGTATACTGTAGTCCTAGATAATGTTCAGCGCTACAGTATACTGTAGTCTGGATAATGTTCAGCGCTACAGTATACTGTAGTCCTTGATAATGTTCAGCGCTACAGTATACTGTAGTCTGGATAATGTTCAGCGCTACAGTATACTGTAGTCCTTGATAATGTTCAACGCTACAGTATACTGTAGTCCTAGATAATGTTCAGCGCTACAGTATACTGTAGTCCTAGATAATGTTCAGCGCTACAGTATACTGTAGTCCTAGATAATGTTCAGCGCTACAGTATACTGTAGTCTGGATAATGTTCAGCGCTACAGTATACTGTAGTCCTTGATAATGTTCAGCGCTACAGTATACTGTAGTCTGGATAATGTTCAGCGCTACAGTATACTGTAGTCCTGGATAATGTTCAACGCTACAGTATACTGTAGTCTGGATAATGTTCAACGCTACAGTATACTGTAGTCTGGATAATGTTCAGCGCTACAGTATACTGTAGTCTGGATAATGTTCAGCGCTACAGTATACTGTAGTCTGGATAATGTTCAGCGCTACAGTATACTGTAGTCTGGATAATGTTCAGCGCTACAGTATACTGTAGTCTGGATAATGTTCAGCGCTACAGTATACTGTAGTCTGGATAATGTTCAGCGCTACAGTATACTGTAGTCTGGATAATGTTCAGCGCTACAGTATACTGTAGTCTTGATAATGTTCAGCGCTACAGTATACTGTAGTCCTAGATAATGTTCAGCGCTACAGTATACTGTAGTCCTAGATAATGTTCAGCGCTACAGTATACTGTAGTCCAGCGCTACAGTATACTGTAGTCTGGATAATGTTCAGCGCTACAGTATACTGTAGTCCAGCACTACAGTATACTGTAGTCCTTGATAATCAGCGCTACAGTATACTGTAGTCCTAGATAATGTTCAGCGCTACAGTATACTGTAGTCCTAGATAATGTTCAGCGCTACAGTATACTGTAGTCCTAGATAATGTTCAGCGCTACAGTATACTGTAGTCTGGATAATGTTCAGCGCTACAGTATACTTGCTGGTTGGTCAGCGGGCTGTTGTGATGGTCTTAATTATCCTCAGAAGCTGATAGGACATAGGAACTATCAACATTAAATTAAAATCACTTGTGTTGTCCCGTCTTGAGTACTGCTCAGTACTCACTTCCCCCTTCAGAGCAGGAGAGATTGCTGAAATAGAGGGAATACAGAGAACATATACGGCACGCATAGACGAGATAAAACACCTAAATTATTGGGATCGTCTCAAAGCTCTCCAAATGCACTCACTAGAAAGGAGACGAGAGAGATATCAAATAATATACACGTGGAAAATACTGGAGGGCCAGGTCCCTAATCTACTCAGTAAAATAACAACGTACTGGAGTGAACGATATGGAAGAAAATGCAGAATAGAACCAGTGAAGAGCAGAGGTGCCATAGGCACAATCAGAGAACACTGTATGAACATCAGAGGTCCGCGGTTGTTCAACATCCTCCCAGCGACTATAAGAAATATTGCCGGAACAACCGTGGACATCTTCAAGAGAAAACCAGATAGTTTTCTTCAAGGAGTGCCGGACCAACCGGGCTGTGGTGGGTATGTGGGCCTGCGGGCCGCTCCAAGCAACAGCCTGGTGGACCAAACTCTCACAAGTCAAGCCTGGCCTCGGGCCGGGCTTGGGGAGTAGAAGAACTCCCAGAACCCCATCAACCAGGTATCAACCAGGTACACCACCACACAGCCAGTATACACCACCACACAGCCAGGTATACACCACCACACAGCCAGTATACACCGCCACACAGCCAGTATACACCGCCACACAGCCAGTATACACCACCACACAGCCAGGTATACACCACCACACAGCCAGTATACACCGCCACACAGCCAGTATACACCACCACACAGCCAGGTATACACCACCACACAGCCAGGTATACACCACCACACAGCCAGTATACACCGCCAAACAGCCAGTATACACCGCCACACAGCCAGTATACACCGCCACACAGCCAGTATACACCGCCACACAGCCAGTATACACCGCTACACAGCCAGTATACACCGCCACACAGCCAGTATACACCGCCACACAGCCAGTATACACCGCCACACAGCCAGTATACACCGCCACACAGCCAGTATACACCGCCACACAGCCAGTATACACCGCTACACAGCCAGTATACACCGTCACACAGCCAGTATACACCGCCACACAGCCAGTATACACCGCCACACAGCCAGTATACACCGCCACACAGCCAGTATACACCGCTACACAGCCAGTATAAACCGCCACACAGCCAGTATACACCGCCACACAGCCAGTATACACCGCCACACAGCCAGGTATACACCACCACACAGCCAGTATACACCGCCACACAGCCAGTATACACCGCCACACAGCCAGTATACACCGCCACACAGCCAGTATACACCGCCACACAGCCAGTATACACCGCCACACAGCCAGTATACACCGCCACACAGCCAGTATACACCGCCACACAGCCAGTATACACCGCCACACAGCCAGTATACACCGCCACACAGCCAGTATACACCGCCACACAGCCAGTATACACCGCCACACAGCCAGTATACACCGCCACACAGCCAGTATACACCGCCACACAGCCAGTATACACCGCCACACAGCCAGTATACACCGCCACACAGCCAGTATACACCGCCACACAGCCAGTATACACCGCCACACAGCCAGTATACACCGCCACACAGCCAGTATACACCGCCACACAGCCAGTATACACCGCCACACAGCCAGTATACACCGCCACACAGCCAGTATACACCGCCACACAGCCAGTATACACCGCCACACAGCCAGTATACACCGCCACACAGCCAGTATACACCGCCACACAGCCAGTATACACCGCCACACAGCCAGTATACACCGCCGCAGTATACACCGCCAGCCAGTATACACCGCCGCACAGCCAGTATACACCGCCGCACAGCCAGTATACACCGCCGCACAGCCAGTATACACCGCCACACAGCCAGTATACACCGCCGCACAGCCAGTATACACCGCCGCACAGCCAGTATACACCGCCGCACAGCCAGTATACACCGCCACACAGCCAGTATACACCGCCACACAGCCAGTATACACCGCCACACAGCCAGTATACACCGCCACACAGCCAGTATACACCGCCACACAGCCAGTATACACCGCCACACAGCCAGTATACACCGCCACACAGCCAGTATACACCGCCACACAGCCAGTATACACCGCCACACAGCCAGTATACACCGCCACACAGCCAGTATACACCGCCACACAGCCAGTATACACCGCCACACAGCCAGTATACACCGCCACACAGCCAGTATACACCGCCGCACAGCCAGTATACACCGCCGCACAGCCAGTATACACCGCCGCACAGCCAGTATACACCGCCGCACAGCCAGTATACACCGCCGCACAGCCAGTATACACCGCCGCACAGCCAGTATACACCGCCGCACAGCCAGTATACACCGCCGCACAGCCAGTATACACCGCCGCACAGCCAGTATACACCGCCACACAGCCAGTATACACCGCCACACAGCCAGTATACACCGCCACACAGCCAGTATACACCGCCACACAGCCAGTATACACCGCCACACAGCCAGTATACACCGCCACACAGCCAGTATACACCGCCACACAGCCAGTATACACCGCCACACAGCCAGTATACACCGCCACACAGCCAGTATACACCGCCACACAGCCAGTATACACCGCCACAGCCAGCCAGTATACACCGCCACACAGCCAGTATACACCGCCACACAGCCAGTATACACCGCCACACAGCCAGTATACACCGCCACACAGCCAGTATACACCGCCACACAGCCAGTATACACCGCCGCACAGCCAGTATACACCGCCGCACAGCCAGTATACACCGCCGCACAGCCAGTATACACCGCCGCACAGCCAGTATACACCGCCGCACAGCCAGTATACACCGCCGCACAGCCAGTATACACCGCCACACAGCCAGTATACACCGCCACACAGCCAGTATACACCGCCACACAGCCAGTATACACCGCCACACAGCACAGCCAGTATACACCGCCAGTATACACCGCCACACAGCCAGTATACACCGCCACACAGCCAGTATACACCGCCACACAGCCAGTATACACCGCCACACAGCCAGTATACACCGCCACACAGCCAGTATACACCGCCACACAGCCAGTATACACCGCCACACAGCCAGTATACACCGCCACACAGCCAGTATACACCGCCACACAGCCAGTATACACCGCCACACAGCCAGTATACACCGCCACACAGCCAGTATACACCGCCACACAGCCAGTATACACCGCCACACAGCCAGTATACACAGTATAGAGCCAATAACAGTCTGGTTGATCAAG